CAGAAATGTTTCTGGGTTGGCGGAAGCCACAGCATTACACACTTGGGTGCCAGGATCCGGGATTGTGTGTGCTCGTGGCTCCCCCTGCCAGCTTGGAGCACTTGTTCCAGGGTGGAGAGACATTTGTTGAATTCATTGTTCATGGTTGCCCATCAGTTGACCTTAGGAGAGCACCACCAACTAAATTTTATTCTCTCTTGCTGGATTCACTTTGTCAGGCAAAGCCTTTTATAGCAAGGAAGACTCAGACATGAAAGAGGGCTCCATTTGCAAAGAGTTTACTATAAAAAACAGAGTCAAAAACACACTCCAGAGTAAAAAAAAAAAAAAGGAAGCCACACAAACACAATCATGGCAAGGAAATCCAAAATACTCAATTCAGAAAGCAGTCAAGGAGGCAGGCAAGGTTAAAAAAACAGATATCAAAATAGTGTCAGAAAAGTAAGTGCTAGACAAAAAAAGGGTCATACACAGAAGGCTATTCAGAAAACCATGGCTCAGAACTTAGAACACATTTAGACATAGAACACGTGATATAACAACCAACAAAATTTAAGTGAAAAACAAACAGAAACATTTTAGGGAAAAAATAATATATAAATAATATATAATAAATAATATAACCTGGTAGCATAAGTGTGCACACTCCTTAACTAATACTTTGTTAAAGCACCTTTTTTTGCTTGTAATACAGCACTCCGTCTTTTTGGGTCGTTGATTTGCTCATTTTATTCCACCCTTATTTGCAAAAATGCTACAGATCTATCAAATCTCCAGGGGATCTCCTGTACACAGCCTACTTCAATTCATTCAACAGATTTTTGATAGGATTTAGATCTGTGTGGGACATTCTACAATGTTTATCTTCTTCTTCTGGGGCCATTCCTTTGTTTACTTGGATTTGTGCTTAGGGTCATTATCATGCCGGAAGGTGAAGTTTTTCTTCATCTTGAGATGTCTTACAGAGGCCTCCAGTGTTTTGTGCTAAAACAGATTGGTATTTGGAGCTATCCATAATTCCCTCTTTCTTGAATAAAAGTCCAGTCCATAGTATGATGCTGCCTCTAACATACTTCACCATGGGTACAGCATTCTTTGGGACATAAGCTGTATTTTTTCTGTATTTTTTAGATTCATGCTTAAAAAGTTCTACCTTGGTCTCATGACCTTCGTGGTCTAATTTTAAAAAAAAAATCTTCGTACTCCTATCCTGCTCGATACTTTTTCAACAGTGAAGCCCTGTACTTGTAAGCTCTTTGTGGACCATGGTTTCAGCAGTCAGATGAAACCAACAAGATGTCAGGAAAATCTGAGAAAACAGCTGATCTTTATTTGGGGTTAATCTGAATCTTTCTCTTAAAAAAGAATCATTTCATTGATGACAAGTACCTGATAATTACTTTTGAATATGAGTTTGAATATGATTGGTTAATTCTGAGCATAGTCACATGTCCCGTTATAAAAGGGTGTGCACTTGTGCAGCCAGTACAACTTACTTATTGTAAGTTTTTTCTTTTTCTTTTTTTTCCATAAAACTTTTCTTTTTCTTTTTTGCTTTTCATTTGAATTTTGTTGGTTTTTATATCACATTAAAATTGGAAAAACATTTGAAATGATTTATCTTGATGTCATTTTTTACATCACAAAAACTTGAAATTTTGACAGGAGTGTGCAGAGATTCATATCCACTGTAAGTATTATTTTGGAGTACTTCTAGTTTACTTGATTATTATTGAAATTGACTACATGTACTCTTATGTAATTACATTTCCAGGAATGGACATTTTAATGACTTAGGACTCTCCAGGCCCTACATCAGCAAAATGCTTCAATATGACCCTAAACTATGTAGGGTTAGTTTTAATACTTCAGTACAATTAAAAGTAGCAACTTTTTAAAACTTTTACTTTTTCTTTTTTAATTTTTACTTTTAACTTGAGTACATTTTGGCTGGATACTTCCATTCTGTGTAGCTCAGTGTAGTTGTTCTCAGTTTGTCTGTGTTAGTTTTCAGCTAGTATGTAGAAATACACGATATGGCCAAAACTATGTGGACACGTGACCAGCACACCCATATGTGGGCCTTCCCCAAACTGTTACGACAAAGTGGACAGCACAGAATTATCTAGAATGCCTTTGTGTGCTAGAACCCCTTTACTGGAACTAACCCACTGACCAAAGATACGTCCAAAAGACGTCTTTTGAATGTCTTTGTCACACACTGAAAAGACGTGCCCTGAGGAGCCAGAATGAAAGCTTTTATCACATCTTTTTATGATGTCTTCTGAACGTCCAATGTTGACGTCCACAAGACCTCTGTACAAGGTTAAAAATTAGTTCAAATGTGGTCACTGAGGACGTATTTTCAACGTCTTATGTAAACAGCAGAATGATTTTAGACATCATTTATACTGCCTCTGGACCCAATAAACATTCTCACACTGCATTCAATTAAACTTCACTTTAATTTCAGTATAATTTCCAGACACTGTGTGTGTCCAAAAACCATGAAAACAAAAATGACACTTGACTCATGCTGCAGTGGATAACAATTAACAAATAAATAACAAACAACAATCCACCTAGCACATGTGCTTCAGAACTCATACGACTATGAGTCTCATTACTGTACTGTAATGTAGCTGCGACACGTTTCTCAGACTTAAAAGTCATGCCTACTTTTAACAGCTTTGTGACCAAAAGAGTACAAAATTAAAAAATTGATAACTTGTAGCTTTAATAATGTTGTCTACCTTCTGGCATGTATCAAAGGTGGCATGCAATATGTAGGAAAAACAAGGAGACAACTTAGATTTAGAATTAATTACTTCTGAAAGGAGATAATCAGGCATTACTTTTGAAAACTGCCATAGCATAAGAAAATATTCACAATTGTAATGTTGACGTTAGCTCTTTTCTGGTTGTCTTAACATGACCATCATGTAGGACGGCTAACATACTAGCTAGCTAACCTGGTACCAACATTTGTAGCTCGCTAACTGTAACCCTAATGTTAGCTCAATGTGCTAGCGCTTAGTTATTTAGACAATGCTTGTTCAGTAGCTTGTGAACAGTTGTGAATATTTTCTTACGCTATGGCAGTTTTCAAAAGTAATGCCTGGTTAGCTTCTAACACTAACTATGATTGAAATCAATGTTTAGCTAATGTTAGCTAGTTACCATGAGGGGACAATTAAGCTAGCTTAGATGGCAACGCTAACTAGCCACAGCAGGTTGAAGTTGGTTTACAAATAAAGAAAAAACAGCTAACACTAAGTAAATAGCTTAATGAGCTCGCACTTTTGCCTTGCTGTAATACGGTCCTTGCAAAAGCAGCACATCACATGTATTGCAAGCAGCGAGGCTCATGGATGTATGTCGAAGCCCGATCTGTGTAACAGATGCACGAGCACATCTGCTGACAACACCACTTGGACAAACAAAAAGTAAAAGTTTGTTATAGTTATGATTATGATTACATTTGCTAAGGATTATATCAGACAGCATTGCATGGTTGCCTGTCATAGCATAGCATTTTTTTCTATTCAGTTTCATGGAGTATTTTTCCTGAACCTGTCTTGCATGTCCACAGACGTCCCAAAAAACTCCTAGCCAGACGTTCAAATGTTGAACTGTGTATCTATGTCCAAGAGGGGTCGTAGTCAAACGTCCAGATACTGAATCTGATTTGCATATCATGCAGACATACAGATATGGTTCTGAACTGACCGACACAATATAGACATGATCCACCCATGTGGCCGACGTCTCATGTTTTCTGGGAAGGGGCTCAAATATATTCCAGCATGACAATGCCACTGTGCACAAAGCAAGCTTCATAAAGATATGGTTTGCCAAGAGTGATGTGGAAGAACTCAAGTGGCCCTGACCTCAACCTTAGTGAGCACCTTTAGGATTGGAATGCTGACTGTACACCAGGCCTTCCTGCCTGACATCAGTGCCTGGGCTCACTAATGCACTTGTAGCTAAATGAACAAATTTCCCTACAGCCACATTCCAAAATCTATTGGAAAGCCTTCTCATGAGAGTGGAGGCTATTATAGCAGCAAAGTTGGAACCAACTCTGGAATGGGAAGGTCAGTAAACACATATGGGTATGATGGTCAGGAGGTCCACATACTTTTGGCCATATAGCATATATACGTGCTTTCAATTCAAATCAATTATATTTCTATAGCACTTGGACATTGGACGTAACAATGGACATTGTCACAAAACAGCTTTACAGAAATCATGTAGAGATGAAAGAATTTAAGTACAATTTCCTTCTAAATATACGAATTCACATTGTCTATAATGAAAGGTGACTATTTTTGTCCAGTTATATTGTGGTTAGTTATATGTTAATGCTAAATTAAAAAGATGTACTTATAGAACATCTTGGACTATATTATAAGCAGGAGGTATTTCCAACTCCTTCCCCACCATAGTTTATGCTGACTGGACCTTGCAATGGACAATGGTCTTCTTCCTGGAAGTCTTCTTCATGGAAATTGTCATGAAATTTTAATTATGGCACTTGCAGTCCTGGCACGCTCATATAAGACAACACAGACAAATTACATAATTCCAGTGTATATATGGTCTCTAACTCCCTTTCAAACAATATTAATGACAAATCTGTTGAATATTTGAAATTTACCTCTGCTAGTTCACTATTAACAATAATAGAGTCAACCATTTATGTGTGATATACGCAATGAATCAAAATAATAAAGACATTTGTAGCATAAATCATGTTTTTCTTATAAAACATAATTGAAACAAGGTTTTCATGTGTTTAACTGTTACTCTAAATCTTTGCTTCTATCTTGTTATATTCAAAGTAGTATTGGCTATGACAAAAAATTCCAGCTATAAACAAATAGAAAACCCACAAAATCAAATTCGCATTTTTAAAAAATTTATGCTTACGCAAAATTAATTACATCCTTCTGAAATAACAATGAACAAAACAGAACAGTGTGTGTGCATTCAGGTCCCTGGAGGACTAGTGGTTAGGCCTTGGTGCTCTCACTACCGCAGCCCAGGTGCGATTCCCGACCAGGGAACCAACCCCAGCCCCCGGGGTTGCACAAGGCAGTTCACTCCCCCAAGTGCCAGTCCCAAGCCTGGATAAAATTGGGAAGGGTTGCATCAGGAAGGGCATCCAGCAATAAAAACTGTGCCAAATCAGATATGTGAACCAATGATCCACTGTGGCGACCCCAAGTGTGTGCATTATAAATGTACTTGCTACATTTTGTAAATGTAGAAGGTGCTTTAGTGTCATTTTTGGTACAAAATCCTGGCAAAGCTTCCTCTTTTCACCACCAGCTGCAACCTACAATGGTGAAAAGTCTTTGTTAGACACCTAATACATCTAAAATGTTTACACATGCGCGCACACACACACACACACACACACACACACACACCACATGCCAATAACAAAAAAGTCACTCACGCTTACTTTAGGCACTGGAAGTGGTGGCTGTCTGGAACGTGCAGTTTGGGGTAATAGGAGTCTCCTCCTTAATCCTTCTCACCATGACCGCAGAAGCTCAGGACCTTGAGACTTGTTCTCTTCTCTGGATATGAGGGGTCACAAGTGCCTTACTTTGTGTCTTTCACATGAACTTGTATTTTAATTTCATATTTTCCATGGCCCGTCTGTTTTAAGTACTCTTTTCAACCATTCATATAAATCAAATTGACCTGAGGGCCTTATAAGGGATGTAAATGTGTAGGGGCGGTGTAGGATGTGTTCAAATTTTTTTGTTGTTGTTGTTGTACAAGGTCTTCATTGAAAATGAGCCAAGGCCAACCAGTTTCAGAAGGAAAAAATGATTTGTTCTATATTTTTTTCTTTTACTAATAATAATAAACGGGTCAATTTGACCCAAGAGCCGCATGAGGGTTAATGGAGATGGGCTTCTTGTCATTCATTTTGATTTACCACATTTTTTTTTTGCTTGCTTTCTTTTGTTTTCATAGATAATTGGAGATTAGAAGACTTGATTCTTCTTAGAAAATACACCCTTTGGTAATGTGAACAACAAAAATATGCAAGTGCCTTTACAACTCTATCTGAACACACAGACAATGACTCTACATTAATAGCTTCCCCAACAACCAAATATGGAAGTGCATTAATTATATGAAAGCTTGTATTTCTTGTATACGGCTTGCATTTCATGCCTTCCGCTGCTTAATTGTTTGTGCTGGTTCAAACAAGATTACAGAATTGCCCTCAAAGCTGCATGAGAAATACACTCTGCCCCATGTACTCGCATCACTGTTGTAAAGTGCATGCACACCTTGCATCAAAATGAGATGGGTTTTGCTGACAGAGTACAGACCAGCCTAGACTCCCAACATAATAGACTATTAAACAGGGCAAGCTCCTCTTTTGCTGGCGTACATTCTTGCAGCGCTGGAACATGCCTGTACTTTTTAGGTCACTTTTTTTTTCAATTTTCAGCAAGTCATCAGCTCTCTCTCTCAATTTTTAATAGTAAATTTTAATGAAAGAAGAATGGAACTGGAATTAGTTAAAGTATATTAAAAAATATCCAAAGTGCCTTATTTTTATATGCATTATTAAAATAGAGAGAGCTTATGATTGCGTCCAAGGCCTCTTCACACTGCTAGTGGTGCAACTAAGGAATAATTAAATACAGTCAGTTGAGTAATATAATGCAAACTGCATATTACAGCATTTGAAAACTAAAATATATCTAGCCATTAAATATGCTCACTACATATGTATGGCGTTTATGTCCATACTTATTTGCTAGTTTCCAATTATTTGCATTTTGGAAGCATCATTGCTTTACATGCTTCACATGCTTCTGAGATCACATTAAACCTACTTTGTAAAGAAAGGCCGCCACACTCACAAGTCGTTGCCACACTCACAATGACATAAACAATTCAATTCCTTACATAGGCATGCATGCACCACAACAAGAACATACAGTATAAAATTGGGCCCTGTTCATACCTGGCATTAATATGCATTGGAAAACTTTGTGATCATTTGTGAATGGTTCAAAGTGCATGTGATCCAATCACTTAAACCACCTTTGGAGGTGGTTTGGGATGCATATGACCAACGTCAGCCTGCCTAATCGACTATGTCATTGGAAGGAAAATACATAATCATTGTGAGACTGTTTGGAAATTGCTCTGAATGATAGAGTTCTCCACCACTAGGATAATGGATGAAGGCAATGCTATGGATGAGCCAAAAGTAGCTGCTTTTTGTAGCCTCTTTTGACGTCATATATATATATATATATATATATATATATATATATATATATATATATATTCCATAATTTTCTGCAATTATTAAAGCCTGAAATGCTTGATCTAGAGACTCACTTTCAAAATATTTTTTGCTAATGGCATTCTGTTTGGTTATTATCCTATTTATACAAATGAAGCTTCCCTATTGCAAATGAAGGATTGTCTGTCAATTTGAATTCTGATTATAAAAGCTGACCAAAGAGCAGCTTTACTTAAACTTCCACTCACTGTACTCACTGTAGAAAGGACTTCTAGGATCTTCCTTTAGTTCTTCCTATTCTAACTTTTGTATTCAGTTTTATTTCTCTTTTCAATCAAAATTTTACATTTAGGAATTGCAAATCTAGTAGATTGTGTCATTACTGGTGTTAATACTAATGCATGACTGTGTTAATGCTAATGCATGATTTATTACATTCTTCTTGGAAGACCATAAAGCCTATCCCCATTCCTGTTGTCACGACAAGAATATTTAAAATTCTGCCACCATATCTGCAGATTACAGTAGAAAAACATATCAGTACTATCCTCCTCATTCTTGAGCAACTGTGTCACATTTAGAACAATTTAGGTTTCCTTATACTATGAATCAAAATATATCTTGATATGTACTTTTGGCTTTACATGAAAGAAATCCCTTTGGGTGTCAGTTTAAAATAACTGAAAATGACATACTCCAATTTCGAGTCTGCACCAATCTCAGATTGTGCATGCTGCATGGAGTTGGTCACAGCTTTCATCTTACCCACTGTCACAGTCACACATAGAGGCTGTGTTGTATTACAGCTCCATCACACACAATTCACACTGAACATCTGTTTCTGACTGTGCGAAGGCTGCGTATTTTCCTGATTTACTCTTGTATAATGGCATCCATGTAGAGGATCTCACGACCCCAACTATTTTTATATAATAGTAATGGGCTGAAAGTAATGGGCTGAGAATGATGTGAAACCCTAGTGTCATAATGCACAATGCTGCACTCAATGCACTCAATGCACCTAGAAACTATTTTAGGGGGAAAAAAATCCAAAATACCTTTGGCTATATTATTATTGTTGTTGATACACTTCATTCCACCTTAGTGAATGTAGTTAAAGAAAATCAATATAAATAAGGGAATGTAGTGTATTGTATTTACAGGGCAAGACTGACTGATATTAACTACCCAGCAAACACTGGACCCACTGTGGGCACCCACATTCGACTGCGGGCTGGGGATTTGCACATTGGTGTGAAATTGGCCCCATAGCATTGGTCATTAGGTAGCCCATAGTGGTCCCACATGGGGCTTGTGTGGACATGCCAAAGTGTGGGCCAATGTGGGATTTGTATGGGTTAGCCTTGGCCCAAACTGCCCACAACTTTGGTCATAAAGGTCCAATGTGGGCATGTTTGCTGGAAAATCTTAAATAAGTGGTCTCTTTAAAAAAGTGTTATCCTATAACTTTAGAAATATTTCATTCAAATAAACAAAATCAATCTTTTTTTTTTATAATCATTGAACCAAGTGTGTGCATGTCCTTATAATAAATAGATTTATTAAGGAGGAAAAACATACAGCAAATTCATATGGGGCTTAGTGAGTATTTGATATAGTAGATACTTCTCAAACAATACAGCCAGCTCACCAGTTTGCCAGGCTCTACAAAGATGACAAATGGAATTTCCACCACCTCCCATAGAGATCTCTGTAGGGCAGCAAAGAAAGTACAGATCAGCAAGATATACTTTATATATCTGGACCCTTCATACTGATGCTGACCTGTCTCTAATAAGTGACAGACCAGACTGTGCTGAGTAACTCATGATCTCTCCCTGCAAATTGCTCCAGCAGGGAGTAGTAGAACTGCTCAGTAGGCAGGCAGGCATGTATTTGTGAAGATGGACCTTTTGACACATCAAACCAAGCCTATATGTAATGATAAAAAAGAAATGTTACACGTTGTGAAACAAGACTTCTGCAACTTGCCAATCTCATAAAAAGGTAATTGGGTTACTTTTTATAAAATGAGAGCAGGTGGAACACTTTTTAGGCAGGTCACCTTTAAGAAGATTTGATTTAGCTATAGGTCACCGCAGGAAAAAGGCAAGTGCTCATTTCCAGGTGTATATTACATGACTTTAGCACAGCATTCCTTTTTCATATTTTCCTTTTGTGTTAAAAAAAAAAATCTCCAATTTGGTTGGAGCCAAATTACTATGAGTGCCATCAAAGCTATTCATTACAAGTAGGCAAGACACATTGTTTGAGTTTTTACAGATTTTCAAACAGGTCTTACATTATTGGTACAAGCTAGAATATACTGTTTCTACTTAAATTAATTGATATAATATTCACATTATTTCACTAGGAATATATACACTCAGGACGGTCCCCTCAACCCTGAGTTAGGAAAGTGATGTCAAATCAACATGGCTGCTTACACACTATAAAAATGGAATATGAGGTCAGTCAGATTTAAGAGAAAATGTATAGTTGTATAGTTTACATATAATTATTTACTTACTCATCAGAACACGATTTCATTGTTTACACTAAATTTAATTTAAACAAAAATCTATTGTACTATCTTGAATTATGCAGAGTGAGTGTGATCAATTGACCTAGTATTAAAGTAATGCAATTACACTATATTTTAAAATCTGGTGAGATGACAACACTAAGATGTTGCTACTGACAAGATGAAATGGCTAGTATATAAATTAACTTGATCAAATCATGTGCAGCATGGTGGAACAGGGTCCTGGGTTTGAT